GAAGCAAGCAGCGAAGCCCAATCTCCGCCGGTTTCGTATAGCGCATCGATTGCCGTGATATCTGCTGCACACGGTCGAGGTAGCACCACGCGATTAGAAGCCGAGACAGCGGTCCTGTCTCGAAGAATTTCTGTGGGACGGCGTAAAAGAGCATTAAGCGAGGTAGTTTCACCTCCAGAAGTTGCAGGCGATTGCTGAGCGGCCGAAGTCTAGTCGGCGATCGGTTCAACATGCGTTGAGGCGAGGCTGAGCTGAAGCGAGGTCGCTTCCATCATGGACTCGTCTTTATCGTCACCATTGGATTTCACAATAGGAACTTACGAAGACGGGAGCACGACTGTGTCCTCAGCGTCAGACACCACCGGAGCAGCGCCGGTCACAAGAACTGTCATGCCAGCGCTAACGTCGACGATGCGAGTGGTCGCACCGTTTCGTCAGCGGGAGCTCGAGCGTCGGCATCAGTTGTCGCAGGAGAGATGGCCTGACCTGGGGTGACCAGGGCATGTGTATTCATGTCCGATAAGGCTACAGCTACTGCAGGGTCGGGCGAAGACGCGAGCTCGCCGGTCGTTGAAAGGGCGCCATACGGAGCAGACGGCTGCTCATAATGGGTGAGACGTACTGGATCTGGTACAAAGACGGGACGGGGTAGCTGCACAGGTGGCTTTTCACCCGCAAAACCATGGTTGATGGGAGATGGGCAGACTGATTCAGGCTTGTCCACTGGCTTCATCTTTGATCGGCGTTGGGCTAGTGGCTTGTTTTTGGTTACTTCGCTGGTTTGACTGGGGACGCTTGTGCTCGACGAGGCAAATTGAGAAGTCTCGATGTGCGGCTTAGTAACTTGGCAGGTACGATAATTTTGTATCTGATAGAATTGAATACAATATATAACAATTTTACGAAGTGCACATTACACTTTACTGTAATTTTGAACTTTCATACTTTCGCATTTATGAACTCCGACAAAGGTGGAGTCGTTGGTGCAGCGGGGCTGCCGTAGCTCTTTCGCTTAGAGGAGGCCTGATTGAGGTTGATGACCTTCCATCTATACTTAGAAACAGTACGAGTGTGGCAGATCACAATCCACTTACTCCAATAGTATAATTCTAGGCTGATTAACCTTTCCGTTTATAACGTAAACTGTATTTCTCGGTTTTGTTTGCGGCAAAGCCTGAATCTATAGGTTTTGCTACCTACATGGTAAAACCTAATTAAGTGTATAGCAACTGGCTATTCCGGCCACGTACTGACTTTTTGTTTAAGTGTGGTGTGCTCACACCATCTTGTGCAACCCAGACCCTTCCTACTAGGGCACGTGAAAATCCGTTACACATGGATAAAGAGAACTGTGGGAGCATATCTGGGGTCTTGGAATTCTTCGTCAGCCAATTGCGTCAGCCATCGTTAGAAGGCGGTAATTAACAGATTATTCTCATGGAGATTATCCAATAGGTGCGGCGCGCACATGCATTTGTATATTCGTTCCTCAGAGGCGGGTGAAACGTTGAATGCAGAGTACAACTTTCGTCTAGCTGGGGTCGGTTGGAAAACTGGAGGTGGTTTCATTATGGGCGTACAAAGGTGATGGATTTTAGCCACGCTGAGAAGAATAGCGGTATCTCTTGTTTGCCGAGCAGCTTGTATATGGTGCATCTGGGCATTAAAAAGTATCCGCGCCCTGCGTGGCCCAATTTATCTCGGCTGGGGGCAGAAAGGGTCGGGCTGCCACGCAGGGTTGACCAGCGTAGCTCTTGCGAGAAAGCGTCAGGTCCCACTGGATGCAGGGCGGCCAACTGTGAATGCACTGGGGTCTATTGTACTTCGCGAGGTTGTAGATTACGGCGGGAGGTTGACGTTCTTTAAGAGATTCGATGTGCGTCAAATCGGTAAATGAGCCAGATCGCAAATTCGCGATCAAACTGCCTGGTTTGAGGCACCTCCCGTCGCTGCTATGGGAGAGAGGATGCCTCAACTACAAGCGATTTTGGTGACACTGCTTCATCTCCAGAAGAGCTATTCAACATCCGACTGGCACGCCAGAGCGAGATGATGTCAGTAAGCCTCAGGAGAAAACAGGTTGCACTCGCAATCTCTCCAAAATTTTATGTTTCTAATTCTGGAGCGTTTGCATCCAGCCACTACACTAGCTCCCGCACTAGCCCGTCAGACTAGACCTATTATGTACGTTGCTGGGAACAAATAGGTTGCTTATTTTCCGAGTCGTCCTGCCTTGACAAGCAGCGTAAAAATTCCAATGGGATTTTTTTTCAGCTCACACCCCCATTGAAAGCCACTGAAAGCTCTGGAAAGCTGGGAGCAGCTCCATAGTATATACTGTTGCAAACGCCATCAGTACCCGAACTCAAGGCTCCTTGCACATGCTAGAGTTGGATCTCATTCTCGTTTGCAATAGGGGTATGGCAAGATTTTGAGTAGTTATGTAGCAAGAGAAAGTCATGCCATTATTGCGCGAAACACTGTGCCACTTGAGAGAACGGGAAATAAAGCCCCAATACGGCGTGTTTACATCGTCAAAGAAATGCCAGAGTTGGCTCGCTGAATTGAACACTTCTTTTACGCCGTCACAATTTGTATGTGGTTGGGGTAGAGATGGTAGGACTTAAGCCGCCACCATGTCATCTGCTGAAAATTGTAAAATATCATTTCCAGTTGTGCGTTCCGCTTGCGCTCTACCGTCTTTTCAAAGGTGTCAGACTAGTGCTGCGAACCATATTGGTAGATGGCTCAATGAACACAATCAACTCCATGGTGCGTTTTGTTGATCCCTAAGCGAGCCTGCCGAAGCAAGTGGAAGAAAGAAAAAATGGAGTGATTAATTCATTTAAGTTTTTATTATCTCTACGTACTTGCCTTAAAGTGTGGCGTCAAATTTTGACGTCAATGAGTGACACCACTGACTTGCCGTATCGCAAGCGTGTGGTAGACCAATTGAGCGGAGGCCGTTTCCATTAATAAAATAGCTGTAATCCTTAACAGTATTTAAAGTCAGCAAAACTTGCAATTTATGGTGTAGTTACATCAAAATGTTAATTTGTGGAGGGCTCGCAAGGCAAAGATGCTAGCTTCCTGAGACTGTTCCATCTTTGACCAGCGAGCTAGCTGCTGTCAGGCAATTTAAGATTAGATGGAAATTGTCAAATTTGCTATCGCACATATTTGTACAGAGGTCTCACTCAATCCAAGCTAAACTTTTAAAGAAGTATGATTCTTGTTTTTCATTACGAGTGTGAGCCGGCCTATGCAGTGCGGTCGCGACCCAGTCTCATAGACCGCAAACACTGCCTGTGTAATTTGACAATTATATTTGCTAAGGCGTTTGCTTTCCTAAATATTTGTGTGTTCCGCCTGCCCCTGGCATATTGTGTTGCGTTTTTATCCTGACTTCCAGCCATAACGTTACACACCTTGAGCAAAATTCTTAATCTCATTGAAATAAAATCACTGGTCTTGCTACGTAGTAAAGCTGGGCTGATATCAAGAATTCGATTTTGACCGACAGCTCTACCTCACCGAGACCGGAGCCACTTCACGGCGGTATCGAATGTAGTGCGTTATATAATTTTAACCTAATGCGCGGGACTTCTTACCGCAGAATTGCGGGTTCTCCTCGTTAATGCTTCAAATTGTATTCCTGCCCATTCGATTAACGCGTTCCTTCGAACCATATGTTTGCGATAGATATAACTAAGCTGGGGCTGGGTACCATGGAAAATATTTGCTAAAGTTTTGCTGCAAAGCGCGGATCATTTCGATACATTGGCTACAGGCAAACCGTGCTCGCAAATAATCTTTGTTTTCAATTTCGGTAGTATCCTCATCAGTAACACTATCTCTAGGATTAGTGAGATGGACATCCAGGTCAGACGGGCCACAAAGAACATTCTAGATACCAAACGCGGCTCCTGCAAGACCGAAAATATTGTCGATACTTGTTGACTGCTAACTCTCTGCTGGATCTGGCAATCTGGCAGAAAACGCTGTCGCACGCGACAAGACTTATACCCGCTGACACATTTCAGCGTGCTCAGATTTGTACTTACCAACCGGTACATGTTAGGTCACCAATATATATCGTTAATCGAGTAGTATTTCTTTTTCTTCCGAGTGTCCCCCCGTGGGAGATCACGTTCCTCGTAAAGCACATGGCCTGTATCATGAGGTACATTTAGGCGCTGGGTCGTGCCGATCAAAGCTATGCGACAGCATGCAGCAAGACACAGAGACTCAGATGTGCATCACTGCATTATGACGACCCGACTCATGTCATAATTATCTCCGCAACTAACGTGATAATGTAGTGACGACGTTGCTGTACAAAGCGACGTATGAGCTGTATAGATCACAAACGGCTCAGAGCCAGGCATGTGCACTCTGATCTTGACAAGAACAAACTTCATCGCAAGTACTTTTTTGTCGTATATTTCATTGTTTCTTTGCCGCTTTAGATTGGCGAGACTCAAACGTTTAATGCTTTTAGTAGAATTCAGCCCATTGCAAAGATTGAAATACATGAAATGGCCAATTTAGATTCGAAAGAACCAAAATAGAGGCACACACGAAGCTCTCTTTCATAGGCCACCTCTTCACCCGCACCAAGCACCATTTTAATATCCTTTTTAAAAAAATGACCGGACGCGCCATGCCGGCATTGTTTGCTCTGTACTTGTGCAAGCAGTTGGCCAGGCCAAGCCAGCAGGAGCACTGTATTTTTCCGTGATCTGTCTCAAGACCCTGCTTTCCAGGAAAGCAAAGCATGAAAATTTTCATCGGCGCCGATCTAGTCTGTGATTAGTGTGGGTTTCATTATCCGACTTTTCATGCTCTGCGCGTCCACAGTCGAATACAGTGATGAAGTAGGTTCGTGCACATGCGCTATGTGGCCTGGGCCGCTGCTTTAATAGTCGTTAGAGCATCGCCGGTGTAAATCGCACTCATGTGGCATACTCAAGCACTTCCAGAGCTTATTGCTTAAATAACTCATCACAGTGAAAGAGATCGATGTCTCTCATCAGCAGTTGCTATTAGTCTGTTTTCAGGTTGAGGACGCTAAACGAAGTTCACCTATCTATGCTATTCCGCCGCACATTCATTTTAGGAGTTGAAGTTTGCACCGGAATGGAGTCTGCAATTTGCGTGCTAAAGACATGCACAAAACATCATTTGTCGGTTGCCTTTCTAACAGTTAAAGTAAGCGCTTGTTGGGAAATTGTTCACACTACATCATATTATTTCTTGGCAAAGCATAGCAGGGTTTGTAGGGTCATCAAAAAATTTTACTTCATGCAAGAGGTGATTTGTAAGGGCTCTCAATGACAAATCAGGAAGGCTGAGATCAGCTCCCCTCAGGTACTTCCGGTGATCTCGACGACATATCACCAAAAATGATTTCTTCAGCGCATGGATCTTATGCCAGAGGTAGAGGAGAGACTGAGTCAACCTGGAGCTTCCTCGATCTCTACGAGTAGATGATCAAGATCGTCACTAAACCGCAAAGCTTCACTGCTCCGCACAGTGGGCATGACTCAGCAGACCATCATATCGCGACGAGGGTGTTCTATCATTCTCAAATGAAGATCCAGGTCGTTTGGCCGTGACAAAAAAAACTCTATCCGCTCTGGCACAGGCTACAAGAATCCCAGAGCATTCACTATTCACCGACCCTGACACTGAAGATAACAACCCACAACTGCTCTATACCTTGCCACGAGAAATATCGCTGGACGGGAACCACGACATACACTCTTCTTTTCCGTCTCATTCTGAGATGGCGGCCAAACTCGCATCTGCTCTGAGAGCTCAAGCCGAGGCACATAGCATAACCATTGCCCTCAGATTTGGGCTCTTTCATACTGTGCACGATAGGCGAAACAAACTGTTCACTGCCTGGCTGCATTCGATCGGGTCTTCTATATTCACGACGGTCGACATTCTTTATTGGCTCACAGTAAGCTGTACGCATTGCC